TGTCAAAAGGACAGTTTTTCCCTTGACACCACTATTATTTTAACTACCTTCACTCCTCAGGAATTTTTATAGCTTTAAAAAGTGATGATTCGAATCGTAATAAAACCTAAACATATAAAAGTGAATTTATACATTTTCTTTGTTCTTGAGAATTTACAACAAAAAATAATAAACATTATTTTTTTATTATTAGATTCTTTGTTCTCTACCTTAAGTGTCCAAGTTTCGAGATGGAAATCCTTCAGAATGGGTAGAAAATAGATGAAAGAAATTGGTTTTTATCCATGCGTTCGTCATGCTGACAGTATGTAATAAATTTGCGTATGTAATCCCGACAGAGTTATTGACATGGGCACCTCGGGGTGGTGTAATAGCAGTGGCGTAGCTAAGGGGGTGGCGGACCGCCCCGGATGCCACCACAAGAGGGGTGACACAATGTCACCCCCAACAAAATTTTTCAACCAGGCTAAGGTGCCAAAAATAGTCTAAAAACAGTGGTGGAGACACAGGGTTTCGCAGGCGGGCATATGACCCTCCCCCACCAGAAATAATTTATGACCCTCCAGTTTTGTCTCCCCGTCAGAAATTTTCTAATAAATTGTCGGGAAATTTGTGAGTAGGAAAAATAGCAATGTTTTCAGCTTTTGATTTGAACTGATTATTTTATGGTATTGGATTTTGTCTTGGATCATACAAAAAAACAGTAACGTACCGGTCAGTAGAGAAAAAAAGTAGAGGTAGAGCATGTATGAAAATTTAGCTACAGCTAACCATTCAGCATAGGGTGAATGGGGGTCATTGGGGTGACATTTGAGCAGACCGCCCCGGGTGACGTTTTTACTCTAGCTACGCCACTGTGTAATAATTAGCAAGCTTGTCTAGAACAATTACGACTGAGTAGTGAGTTCAATACTCACTGGGTACCCATTACTTTCGGCCTTGTACCACATCCAAGCTACGCTTGGAAAAACACTTTGGGCACCTCGAGGTGGTGTAATGGTTAGCAAGCTTGTCTCGCTAGATCAGTTACAACTGAAAAGTGAGTTTGATCCTCACTAGATGCCCTATACTTTCGGCCTTGTGCCACATCTAAGCTATGTTTGGAAAATAACTATAAGTTATTGACATTTGGAAAAATGTTCATTAAAGTATGTTTTTTTGAAAAAAAAATATATCCGATAATGCATTTCGCCTCTATGGCTTCATAGAATATAAAATGTTAAACGATTTTTTAAAAAGTCACTCATTTTCTTTCTCTTTCTTACTTTCAAGCAATGCCATCTTGGGAAAAATAATACAAGATTTAATTTTTTAAAACAAACAAATGCATACACACACAACATATTTTTTGTTATCCATCTGATGAAGCCATAGGGGCGAAATGCATTATTAGATATTACTTTTGAAACATAATTTCATGAACATTTTTCCAAATGTCAATAACTTATAACTCTGTCGGAATTACGTGCCCAAATTTATTACCCACTATTTATTATATTATTAATTGGAATAGTTAGCAAAATAATGGCCAATTGCCAATCGATTCAAACTTTATAAAACAGTAAATAATAAGGATTCTCTTACAGCAACTCGGTGGCGTAGCTAGAGTAAAAACGTCACCCGGGGCGGTCCGCTCAAATGTTACCCCAATGACCCCCGATTCACCCTATGCTGAATGGTTAGCTGTAGCTAAATTTTCATACATGCTCTACCTCTACTTTACTCTACTGACCGGTACGTTACTGTTTACATGTATGATCCAAGACAAAATCCAATACCACAAAATAATCAGTTCAAATCAAAAGATTTTTAAAATGCAACTGTTCACTTTCAGAACAACTAAATACAAAACACGGCAATACACAAAAGAATGACATTCGATACTATGGTCTTAGAATGAATGTTTTCTTGCTTTCATTGTGGCAAACTGGTCAATGACATCATCAAAATCTGTTTGTCTTGTAAGCTCATTTTCAATGGACAGCACAGTCAGATCCGACAGTTTCGACTGGCTCATGGTTGACGTAATTTTCTGTTGCTAATTTTCCGATGTCCAATTTTCCGTTGCATCATTTACTGGGTACCATTTAAAATTATCAATGATGTTTGAAAGTATTTTTCTTGACAAAAATATTGTATTTAATTTTTAAGCATTCTTCAGAACATTGTAAATCAACTGCATTCTTTTAAAGGTTACCTAGAGAATTTATGCAAAGTTTTTTTTTTTTTTTTTTTTTTATACAAGTAAAATAAATTTACATTTTTGATGTTATTATGATTTTAGTTTTAGTGATAATTTAAAAACAATAAATATTTATCATTAGTACCAATAATGGAAAATTAAGTTAAAAATTTAAAAGAATCGTTTTTGGAATCGGAAAATAGGCACAAATTTTTCCGATTCCGATACCCCAAAAAGTTCCGATTTTTCCGATTCTCGATTCCGATTCTCGATTCCGATTCATCGTCCCAACACCAGTAGATATATTCAAAAGTATATCGCTCACTCAATGGAAAATTGTATCTCAGCGAATTGATACACAGGCAAGACTGAAATTGTTGCACTTTACTTTTGGCTTCGTATTTCGCTTTGTTGTTATTAATGATGCAGAGTTAAAACACCATATCATCCGATAAAATGTTACAATGTCTCTTGTTAGTAACCAAGATTGTAGCAACTGAAACACATGAAAGCTGAAAACATTGCTATTTTTCCTACTCACAAATTTCCCGACAATTTATTAGAAAATTTCTGGAAGGGGAGGGGGCTCATAAATTATTTCTGCGGGGGGGGGTCATATGCCCGCCTGCGAAACCCTGTGTCTCCACCAGTTTTCAGACTATTTTTGGCACCTTAGCCTGGTTGAAAAATTTTGTTGTGGGTGACATTGTGTCACCCCTCCAGTGCTGGCACCCGGGGCTGGAATAGAATGCTGACTTAAAAAAGAAGCTAAAACATACAGGGTTTGAGCAACGCTGTCTTTGAGAACATGTCTTTTAATAGCTCTTTTTTTCTCTCTCTAATTTATTCTGCTTATCATTTCTTTACAGATAAATGATGACAAACATCACGGTAACTCAGCAAATGAAAAGGCATGCTGTAGTCATTTCCTTAAAGGCAAAGTGATATAATGGAATATGCATACACTTGTGTTCCCCCTCACTGGAATATAATTGGCTGGTGTCCGTCATAAATACAGACGGACGTGTAGGTACGACAGAGTTTTAAGTCTATGATGACGCCTATTGAACTACGCCACTGGTCTACACTTATTACCTGCGACTACGACGAGTACCAATCGATTACTGCTACCGTGTACTACTTGGTTATAGTAGCCAAACCGACTTAGCTACTTCGATCAAATATATCCCTTTCCGGGACATATCACAAAGCATATTGATTTAGAGATTGTCAAAGTTCCCTAGGAGCTACTAATGGAGATTCTAGAGCAGTAGCCAACCTACAATGCCTGTTAAGGGTCCTGATACCGTCAGAACACACAAATTTGTACAAATGATGTACAAAATTATCAACAAGAACCCCCAGAAAGTCAGCACTGTTGTTCCGAAGCTCAACGTTTCAAGACACCCTATCAGAATTGTCCATGAGGATCTTCAATACAAACCATATATGATGCAGAGAGGCCAATTCTTGTCTGAAATGACAAAAGATAACTGTCTGATCTGCCCAAAGCGCTTGTTGAGCGAGTTGAAGAATGCTTTCGTTTTTCTTTGGTAAGAAAAAAAAAACTTTGATCAGGAACAAAAGGTTTTATGGAGTAGTTTCACAGTGGAGGCTTGTATTTGTACTAAGTCGGTCTTAAAATAGGTTCGACGTACAAAACGTTAGGAACTTGATATAATAGGTAATGGCACAGAAAAATCTAGTTGTGGTCGCTGATACTTTAGTATTCGACTAACGGCCGTCAGGCATCGACTGACTGAGCGACTATATTTAGTCACCCTCCGCCCCCCACGAGGGCATCATGTGGCACAAGGCCGGCTTAACGTGGGATCTCCGAGCCCGTGGGCCCGGCCAAAAATATGCCCATTGAACCCGTATAAACGGGTTTAGGGTCGGTTTACCTCCCTGAAAGAGAATCCGCCCTTCGGCATAGCCTCGTTCGGGTTCCTCCCCGCCCGAAGGCAGAGAGTTCAACCGATCAGCCTGACTGACCCACTGAGCGATTCCCTCGTTACTCTTACTACTCCTACTTATTATAGGTGGGAGAGTCTATTAACTAATAGAATAGGTGTGTTCCACTATAACAAAAGGTCAGCCAAAGGAATGACATATGATTATGCAGAGACTGTAGGAATGTTCCAACGATCATGCACACCGTTTCCGGCATCTGTGATGGTTCTAGAAGTCAACAGCAATGAGTCATACATCCTCATTTCTTTCCTCGGGGCTTAAGTGTCAATGCTGCTGAATATAAGGTGTTGGAGGGGGTTGTGAGACATTGGATTGAGAGTATGAGCAAAGGAGGACCATACACCTACCAACATGACTCTACATCATCTTCTAAGACCAGGACACGCCAAGTATAGATAGATTTCAATCTTTACTATCATGTTACCCCAAACATATGGCCTTTTAACTTTCCAGAGTCACGTTCCAATTCCATCCAGGTCCCCCACCATTCATTTAAACGCAAATACTCTTGGGAGAGGTATGAATCCACCTCTTCTCCCTATTGTTTAATTAATACGACTTGTATCAGTAAATTATTATTATATCCAAAAAACTCACAATCTAAAAAATATTTTCTGACTTTAAATAACCTGCAAAGGGTTGATAAGCCGTAACAAATGAATGAATGAATCAATCATTAGAATCATTTGCCTTGTATTTTGGGGGATTTATCATGTTTATAGAGGTTAAACATTTAACTGTTTTATTAGCTCTATCAGTAGGCTAGTAAATAATTTATCATTTAATATTTACATATATTTTTTTTAATTTAGGGCCTCTTTATCATCTAGGGCTTACGGACATTTTGAAACACCAATTCTCATACGATCACCAAAGTTAAGCAATGTTGAGCCTGGTCAGTACCCAGGTATGAAACTGTTTGGGAATACCAGGTGCTGTAAGTAGGTATGTGCGGGTGGTGTAATGAATAATAGTTCGAAATTGTTAATTGGAGAGCTGAGTTCCAATTCCAGGTACAATAACTATAAATCCAGGTAGAACCATTTAGGTGTTTGGGTGTGAATGTTTACCTCTGTTCGTCAGCACTTGCAGTCCAGCCAGGCCTAAATGTAATGCCATAAATTTCCTTTGATCGCAGTGGTTTGCCTGGGAGGGGGGGGATTTTGTTTCAACAGCACACGTCTTTTATACACCATCTACCTTACTCACTGGATGTTCCAAATTTTTGACCTTGTGTTACATCTAAGCTATGCTTAGAAAATCATTTGGAAACTTTAACGTAGTAAGATGGTTACCAAGGCCAGTTACGACTGAGTAGTGAGTTTGATCCTCACTGGGAGCTCTACATTTTTGGCCTTGTGCCAAATCTAAACTAACCACCACAGAAGACTCGGCACTTAGTAGATCTGATCTCCATGGAGCAAAAGCAATGCCATTATCTAACAAGATAGACAGAGGCTTGCTGATCTGACATCGCTTGTCTACTAAAAGTTACTTTTTTTACACTGACTTTATTTTGTTAAATCTTTTAATACCATGTAATGTTATCATTGTAAAGACTAATAAAAACACAGGTCTAAATCTCTCATATGTAAAATTATTATTTCTTCTCCACTGGCTTCATTAGTATTGCTGTTAAGGTGTGTGACTTTAGGGTCTTTCTTCAAACATGGATCGTCTAAAAAGGCATTGTTATTGCAAAGACAAATTACACAGGACTAAATATATATCGTATATAAAATTATTATTTATTTACTCCCTGACATCATTAGTATTGGTGTTATGGTGTGTGGCTTTGGGGGTCTTTCTTCAAACATAGATCTTCTAAAAATGTAATGTTATCATTGTAAAGACTAAAAAGAACACAAACTTAAATCTCTCATTATGTAACTGTTTGTTCAACCCTATACTTTGTCAATTATTAGCAAGTGGGTGTGCTACTTTTCTTCAAACATGGATTCTTCTTGTGAGGTACTATGTTTTTCTTGCTGGGTGAAGTGCTTACTATTTGGCTATTTACATTCTAAGCACAAGTAGATTAGCCACTGACACCTTGTGAGGTGTGACGTCTACACCTGACAGGTAGGAGGCCACCTTCCAGGTCAATCCACTGATGTAATCAGTGATGATGGTATCATCTGCCCAGTACATAACCAGTACATGCCCAGTGAAAACAATAGTAGGTTTGAACTTTTGGGCAATGTTTAACATTTGAGGCAGCAAGAAAACAGTGTGTCAAAAAAAAAAAAAAGAAAAAAAAAAAGAAACGGTTACTCCCTTGTCACCATTAGTTTTATAAATTTATGAAAAAAAAGATTATTTTTTATTTTTTAAAAAAATGGTAAACAATAAATATTTTATTAAAGTTGGTTTACATATTTTTTCATAAAGTTGTAAATATTAAATTATTCTTGTAAATAAGAAAACTAATAAATATTGAAGGAAACATGGTGGAGTAATGGATAGCGGCTCGGAGTGAGGAATCAGAGAGCCAAGTTCGAATTCCTGTTGAATCCATTACATTCACTTACCCTTAGAAAAGGTATGAATCCTATTTTTCTCCCCCCAGGTATGGGCAAATAGTAGGACAGATGGCAACTGGTCTACTGCAGAAAAGAAATGGCAACCAAGAAACGTCTAGTCAGTCATGTATCGAAAGATATATGATCGCCCAATCGTGTATCATGCAAGGCACATAACTGAATAAATATTGATTTTAGTATTGTTGTTAATTCTCAACCAGAGTCTTGAAAAAATAATGTCTTCATTTTCTTTTGTTGAAAGTGATCACGACCGAGAAGACTGCACATAGTGAGCTGACACCCAACCTTGAATGTCATCACAAGTGTAGTGAACGATGAACGATCAGAGAACGTTGTGACACTATTTAGCTATTGGTAATTGGCTAACTAATTAACCATAGAAATTAAAACAAGAAATAGTGAGAACAGAAAGAAGATATCCCGAAAGATATACCGTTCGATATTAAAAAGATTTTATTTTATTTCCAAAGAAGTTGCTTTTCACAAAATCCAGTAGACCCGTAGAAAAGCCATATGTGAGATTTTGACAAATTGATTAATATTGTTTGTAAAGAAATGCCTTACCAAGAGAAACATGAGATTCAGAAAAAGCAAAGTGTTGTGGTATCGGACAAACCATATGGTGGTCATAAAAATTTCGGCCTGAGATGATTGCCGATACAAGAGAATCAATATTAATTATCTTCCCAAGATATCATTTTCTTTTTCTTGAGTGCCGGCAAGGCAAAGCCATATGGTATTTGTGAGAATTTTGGCATGAGAAAAATTTGTGTGGAGAGAATTGTTATTATTTACTTTTCCAAAGTGTCATCTTCAGGCGCCGACATGTTGAGTAGCAATATCGTGATTATAAAATTTTGGGCATGAGAAAAGATATCATGGAAGAATCGTAATTTGCGAGATAGAGAATTTAATTTCTCAAGAACCCAAGGGTTCCAGTAAAAGCTAACTTCAGGAAGGGACCAGATGACAGACTTTGACAGTGATTGATGGAATTTGTAAAGGGTGACCAAAAGATCTGAGATATTTTAAGTGGCAATGTGGGATTCTTAAAAATTTTGGCTGATGAGAAAAAAAGAATTTTGTAAACAAAAATTCTGGGTTATAATTTGAAGGAGGCCAGCTTAGCACACCCGCACAGCCAGGATGCCATTGGTCGAGTGGTAGCAATGGTGATAGGCGGAAGTAATTTGATGAGAAGGACGGGGAAGTTATTAACGCCCACTGAAGGGATTGGTACGAGGTATCAATGTGAGAGAGGAGGAGTTTAGGAGGATAGCTCTCCTCTGGACCTCTCCTCACGGACGAGGAGATCCCCCCTCAAAATGGAAAGAGATTAATTTTCCAAAAATGAGAAGTAATCAATTTTCCTGGCCTGACAACAAAGAGATTTCTTGTTGGGAATCGAGATTTACCGAGAACCCCAGACTGCATCTAACCCCGCACCGGTTTTTGGTTGGTACCCATATAAACGAACATCCTCAGGCCGTTTGACAGTCAGTCATTGACAGTAGAGTGTTGCCGTGCAAAAACTGACCGAGAGATTCTCCGACCTCACCTATCCTACCAATAGCAAGTTATACTGACGAACGAAGCCATGCCAGCACCTAAAAACTAAACCAGTTGACTTAAGATGCCAAAACTTGCTTAAGAAGCGTAGAAGTCTCACACTCTGTAGAAAACAGGCGGGGAGAAAAATACACTCCTGTATATATAACAGACAGATAAAGTTAATTTGTTATTTTTTAACATACTGAACCTCTTGGATTTTTTTTATTTCTTTTTATGCTTGTGCGATATCACATCCAGTCTAGACTCATCTTACACTATGGCCCGACAACTGATTGATTTCGTCTATCTAAGATCAAAATCAAAACGTGGGTAGGTTAGACTTCAGATCGAAGCAGTTACTTCGGTAACCAGGCGTTGGAAGTGAGCTGGGAATGACGGAGCTGGTGTTGAACCGGTTACAGTTGGTGTGAAGCCGTTAGCATTGACCGACCATCCCACTTGGTACCCTGACCAAAGGATTCCACTGGGTCGTGACGACCAGGATTCGACCTGGGACAGGCCAGTGTCACATATTGGTACCCTGACTAAGAAATTCCACCAGGTAGCGATGACCACCGACCGACTGGTGGCAGTGATTAAGAGTCAACCCCCAAAACGCCGGTGGAAGAAACATTATAGTTTCGCGCCATGACTAAGTTGACCATGGGCCGATAGCTCAGTGTCACAACGTCGTCACAAAACACATCACAATTTCACCATGAATGGCGTCACAAAGAGGTTATTGATTTTTTTTTTTTTTTTTTTTTTTACAGCTTATCAACCCTTTTGCCGGTTATCTCAAGTCAGAAAATATTTTTAGATTGTAAATTTTCTTTTTGTTTTTTATTTGAGATAATGATTTAGTGATACAAGTTTTACTGATTAACCCATAGTGGTAGGGAGAAGAAGTGGATTCATATGTCTTCCAAGGCTATTTGTGCCTAAGTGAATATAACAAACCTAACTGGAACTGGAACTCAGCTCTCCAATTAAAATCTTTCTTGAAGCTTTCATTTTAGTTTTAATTCCAAGCTAATAAATTACATTTAATATTTCCAATAAGCAAAATACTTTGCTGTTATTTCAAAATGAATTTAAATTTATTGGAGTGCTTTGTTTTTTGATTTCCAGTAAAATCACTAAAATCATCCATATCGACAAATATGTCAACACAACATAATTCTCTTTATTAAGAAATTGTTCCAAAACAAAATATACTTTTCTAAAATTTTAAGAAAGATTTGATTGATTTGTTTCCTATGGCTTATCAACCCTTTGCAGATTATTTAAAGTCAGAAAATATTTTTAGAGTGTAAGAATTTTTCTTTTTGAGATAATATGGTTTAGTGATACACATCTTACTAATTAACCCATAGCCAGGGGGAGAATAGGTGGATTCATATATTTCCCAAGAATATAAAGATCCCAACAAGAATTGGAACTTGACTCTTCAGTTAACAATTACAGGTTATTGTCCATTGCACCAGCTGCACATCCAAGCTTACAGCATTTGGTATTCCCAAATGGTTACCCATCCAGGTACTGACCAGTCTTGATGTTGGTTAACTTCAGTGATCATGCAAGAACTGATGTTTCAACGTGATGTGGCCAGAAGCCATACCACCTGCACATCCAAATTTATTGCATCTGGTATTCCCAACTGGTCACCCATCTCAGTACTGACCAGGCTCAACATTGCTTAACTTCAGTGATTGTACAGGAACTTCTATGACATCTTTTCTCTGTCCATTGTATTTTAGCTGATTCACTGACCTATCAAAAATAAATATGACAATTTCGTCTTCATCTTTGACGTTGTTGCTCCTAAAGAGAACTAGCCACTGGAAAAAGTTCTTTGTAATTTTGTTCCTTCTGAGTTTATACTATTTTTGTGTGAACATGACTGTTTTTTTGTCTCTTTTTTTTTTGCTGCATAAAAGTCTTTTTTTTTTTTTTCAAAAAAACTATATATATATATATATATATATTCCCATTTTTTAGTTGAACATGAGCTGGATAAAAATATGAACACATGTTAAATTAAATTTCCTCAGGATTTCATAGTCCTGAAGTTAGGTGTGAATATTATTAAACCATTTGTATTTAGTCATTTCCTGTCCCATTTGTAGTGAGAAGGGAGGTAAATCAATTTAACTTAGTACATTTACGAGTGATTACTTCCTTTAGTCATTTTAATAACCTATACAAATAAAATATTTATCTGCATTTAGACAAAATTAGTTCCCAAGCAAAATGAACCATTTAATTAATCATTTCTTTCTTTTCTACATTTCATAGATTGCAGCCTTAGTTGTTGAAGCCTTTCATGTGAGGCACTCAGATACCTTTGTCTACTAAGTGATTGTCTTGCTTCAACTTGATTTTGAAATCGTCTTTTTAGCCACTGATTTGTTAATTTTTTTTTCTTCTTCTGGGTGATATTTCCATTTCAGTTACATTAAACACAAAATTTGAAGATGAAAAGATATTGAGGAAAATGCGTTTTATATAATATCAGGAGTAATCAAGTAATCATAGATACCATTAAACATCTAGAAACAAATCAGATTAATGAAACGTTTTTTTTTTTTTTTAGCGTCTACTTTAGTCATGAATACTTTATTTTGGCTTTGTTGAATCTCAATACATTGTTTCATCACATCTCCCTATTAAAACTTTCTAACAATTACCATTATTTTTTTTTTAATGGCATGGTTCACTACTATGCAAATAATTTTGTTAAATTCCCTTACTGTTTATTTATTTATCTTTTTTTTTTTTTTTTATTAGTCCATAGCAGTGTTTTTTTGTTGAAGCAAGTAAAAACATTGAGGGGAGGAGGGGCTCCAGTGATTCTGTTGTTGTGAGATAACAACTGTTGTCTAAATTGCAGAACCTTAGTTATTGTTGTTGTTGTTATTATAATACTAATCATCATCACCAAAAAGTACAAAGTTTTAAAAGTATGCCCTTTTTCGTTTACTCTGAACGTTTTTATAATAAAATATGTAAATAATAAAGAGAAAAAAAAAAGAAAGCAAATTGTCAAGTTTGAATCATAATTTTATTTGGACAAAAGGTCAGTAAATTAGTGCTTGAAAAGTAATTGAATATAATGTGACAATATCCACTGTATATATTGTAAATAACTACAAGGTAATTGTCAAATTAGGTTTTCAAACAAGTGCCAGTTTTGACAAAAAGTGACAAAAAAAAAAAAAAAAAAAAAAAAAAAAAAATAGTTTAAGTTAGGGGTGGAGAAAAAGGAAAAAAAAAATGCATAGTGAAATATTTTATTCAAAATTCCTGGAATTAAAGTGTCTTTTAAGGCATCCAGTTTATTTATATATATATATATATATATATATATATATATATATATATATATATATATATATATATATATATATAATATGAATAGCCTTGTGTAAAAAGACATTGGACAGTGGCAAGTAAGAATTTAGGGTTAAATACTTGAATTTTTTTTTAAGCAGAATCTAGAATTAGAAGTATATCTGATGGAAAACTGAACCTAGGATCATGTGTTAATAAGGCATCACTATTGTGTGATCATGAGTCATGTTGTGGGAGGAGGAAGCAAGACTTACGGTCACTAGTGAGCATGTGACATTCTTGCAAATTGCAATTCTGCATGCAAGATTTAGAGGTAGACGTAATGAGCCATGTCTGTACCCCAATATTAATAAACAATCCTTCTAACATTTTCGTTCGGCCTGTGCTTTATCAGCAACTGCTAGCAAGCATGAGGTAAGTTGACCAAAGAGAATTAGTGAGTGAAAATATAAACATAGAATGCCAAAATATTTCTTTTTTTTTTTTTTTTTTTTTTGCGACTTACAACTGGTCATGAAACTCCAAATTAGCAAGCCAAGAGATACAGGGACTATATGGGGCTGCATTTAACTTTCTTTTTTTTTCTTTTTTAAATTATACTATGCTGCTACTATAATGAAGTGTTAAAGAAAGAAGCCACATAATCAAAAACACTTTTTTTTTTCTTTTTTTAAAAAAAATTGTAAAAACACTTGATTTCATTGAAGTTGAATTAAAATTAATAAAAACTTGTAATTCCAATGGATAATTTATTATTCAAACAGATATATTTCGGAAAACTTTTGCAATCCTTGATCACTCTTGAGAAATAAGTGAAACATTGTATACGTTATAAATTCAAATTAATAATTTAATTTTATTAATTTTTTTTAGGATTAATGAGCAGCTTGTTCACCTAGCGACATGTACGCCTTTTATGTGGGTCATGAAAGGAAAAAAAAAATAATTTAGCTTCGCTTTTTTTTTGCCACTGTTTTTGAAAACGCTTAACAGATTACGTCATCACACAATCTTTTTCCATTGCTTTATGAATAAATAATCATAGGCATTGTAAAAATGCTTGATTCCATTGGTGAAGTTGAATTTAAAGAGAATAAAAACTTGTAATAATGGTAATTTATTGTTAAGACAGATATATTTCGGAAAGCTTTTTGTAATACTTGATCACTTGAGAAATAAATGAAACAGTGATTAAGTGATTAAGCTTGATTAAGATTAAGATTGTATAAGTTATAAATTCAAATTAACTAAAAAAAATTCAATTGAATTGAGTTTGAAAGACATGCCTAATCTGAAAGTGTGAGAATTACTTAAAGAAAGATCGATTTTTTTTTTTTCCCCCCCATTAATTTGAATTTATAATGTATACAATGTAGCGTCATCACCATTTCATTTATTTCTCAACAGTGGCCAAGGATTGCAAAAGCTTTGCAAAATATATGTTTTAACAATAAATTATCCGTTGGAATTACAAATTTTTATACTTTTTTAACTATACTATAAGTGTTTAAAAATGTATTTCCATAGTAATATCTGATCATTCAAGATTAGCTCAGAAGTTGTTGCATTTACATTGATATAGTACAAAAGTAGATACAAATTTGAATGTATAAGGATACTGGAAATAGGCCATGCAAAAGTGATATACACTGACAAGAAAAGCATTAGGTTTCATATTTAAGAGACATAAAAAAAAAGGTCATAAATCAGTACTTTGTATGGTTTGCAAACTAAGGCCACAACTTGAAGCAGGATGCATGTTAAAGCTTCGGTTAGTCCCAGCACAATATTTTGGTGATTTCATCTAATTGGTGAAAGACTTGCAGTTCAGGAGGTATGTTTACAATTATTAACATTGCGTTTTTATTTTAATTCTTTTAATTATTACAGGATTTTATGGTGGGTATTAATGGGTTAATGTTACTTTTCCTCTAGCAGTTCAAGTCTTTTGCACGCCCTACTTGCAGTATCATCATGTATTTCGATGTGCCTCTCACTTTGCACCGTATCAATGTGAATGCAACAACTTCCATTACAGTCTTAGGTGGCTGCAGATACTGTCCTTGATATTATCAAACATTTTATAGCTGCTCAGTAAAAATTATTTAGTCAGGTGGCTTATTTCTTTTACTTGCCATCTTGTGAGAGATGTGTTCATTGATAATTACTATATAATTAATGATAGGATACAGAGGTCAGGTAGAGTTTGATAAATTTTTGATAAATGGAAGACTGTATTATTGACTAGATTATGTGCTTCGCCATCTTTAGATAGGTTTCCTAAGATCAGAATGAAAGAAATGTGTTTGCTTCAATATTAAATCATTAATACTTTAAGCTAGCGTCCCTTGTTCGGAACGAAACAACAAAATTGTGTAACTTTCCTTAAAAAAAAAAAAAAAAAAAAAAAAAAAAGCAGTTATTTTATGCTGTTTTTTTTATTCAATTTTCTTGTTTTGTTGACATTTGTTTATAATATTCTCGCAGCTCTTCTGCATTGAATTTAAGGTAAATCCATATCCAATTTTTCAAAGTGGGTTGGAAGTAAAAGATTAATATATTTTAGCTATTCTTAGCAGAAAAAGTATTAATATTGAAGGAAACACCTATATTTTCTTTTATTCTGAGGAAGCCTTTCTAAAGATGGCAAAAAAAACGTAATCAAGACAATAATACAATTTACATCATTAATTATTGACAAATGGAAAAGTAATATTAAAATATAAACAAAACCAATTGCATTTGCTTGCTTGTGAATCAAATGATTACATACAAATATACATTTCAGTGACAGTCATGCTTTGGTGTGTGTGTGTGTGTGTGTGTGTGTGTGTGTGTGTGTGTGTGTGAGAGAGGCAGTCAACTGGCTCTGTAAAGTAATTGATCTAAAAGGCTCATGAAAGTATTTTGAGCGTGTTGGTAACCTTTACCCAAATATGTAAGTAAAGATCGCAGAGCTGTTCCAAAGTGCTGTATAAAGCCTATTGGCAAACTGACTCAGTAGGCTGGATAAGAGTGGGTATTGTTCAATGTATTGTTCAGTCTGAGATCATGACAAATATATATATATATATATATATATATATATATATATATATATATATATATATATGTGTGTGTGTGTGTGTGTGTGTGTGTGTGTGTGTGTGTGTGTAAAAGCAAATATGTGGATATAGATCCAACAGTATGAAGAAAATATGGAAAAACAAAAATCCAAATATGTATGAATTTGTATGTTTTAATAACTATGTCCTGAAGAAGGTCTACTAGACCAGAAACGTCCGACGTTGACATTGAAAAACAACATTAAAACAGCATACTTGCATATTCGGATTTTGTTTTCCATATATATATATATATATATATATAT